AGAATAGCACCTTCATCTGAAATACGATTGTATCGAAGATCAAGGTGAGTAATCATAGTAACAGTTTTTAAAGCTTCAAATATATGTGGTAAATCATTATCTTGAACTCGATGTTTATTTAATGTTGGTTGATTACCATTTAAAGGTAATAAACGATCATAATTTCTGATTAAAATAAAATAAATATAGAATTTTTGAAAAAATATATTTACTTGTAAGCTGATTCATCAATGTAACGTAGAGAACGTTCACGTAAAGTACTCAATGTTTCGACAATACCTTGATTAGGATTGTGTTTCGTTTTTTTTGATGATTGTTCATATCCACTTTTTATTTCTTTCAACAGCATTTTTTTTATTAAAACTTAGATAAAATTCTGCTGAAACTTATCAATGTTGAAAAAGTTAGCCATTAACAGAGTGATTCAACATGGTGAAGAACCTCTTTTGATGTTTTATAGAGAGAGACAGATGCCACTGTAAGTACAAAAAATAGTTTGATTCGAATATCCATTTTTTTCACAGTGAAAATCGAGTGTATATCGGTAGGGTAGATAAAGGAGGTTTCCGTTTATTTATTCGAAATAATAAACAAATAAATATTCAATATTTATAATTTTTCTATTTTCGTTATTCTCTTATATGTTCATATGAATTGTTCAATTAATAATTATTTTTCTTCTGATAATCTATTAAAAATATTTTAGAAATTTTAATTCGATTAAAATATGAGTTCAAATACAGAGAAAGTATTTAGTGTAAATGGTATGACATGTCAATCATGTGTCAAAAATATAGAACGTAATGTTGGTAAAATAGATGGTGTTAAAACAATAAAAGTAAGAGTATATATGATGTAGAAAAAAATATTTGACTATTTCTTTTTTTTATTTAGGTATCATTAGATGAAAAGGAAGCACGTGTTGAATTTGATAATAGTAAGACATCGGAACAAGCTGTGATTGATAAAATTACTGGTTTAGGATTTCAAGCACAAGCAAAATAAATTTATGAATTTTATTCGACATTTTTAAAAAAAATTTTTTCTTATAATGTTGATATTTACTCTTTTACTTCTTGCTTTTTGTATCAATAAAACGTCATAAACAAGCTTTTTATATCCAAAATAACATACAGTAATCCTCAATATAAATGCTATAAAACTGACAAGATTTTATTTTTATGATTCAATATTTAAACTCGATCGATTAATCATCTACTTCATAACAAGTTTTTATTTCTTAACTATATTTGATGTCCAGGTCGTAATCATTTTCACGTTTAGATTTCTATGATGAGTCTCCATAAGACAACT